GCAGTGCTCCATGTTTGCTAGCTTCGGCCTAGCTCCAGCAGTTGGGCTCCACTAGTTGTGGAACTTAAACAAACCCTCAGCTCCATCTCCAGAAACCCTAGCTCTTGATTGCGAGCTTCTCCAAGACTCCAGCACTGAAAATTGGGGGTGCACCGATATATCGTCCGCCGAAACATATCGTCCAAAAATTGCACTTTTGGCCAAAATGCCGAAAGTGCAATTTTTCTGCCGATATAGCGGTGCATCTCTGCTTTCTTTCCCCCGTGCTGGGTGCTGCTCTGTGTCCCAGCAGGGAGGAGAGAAACTGTCACAGGCGTCCGAGCGCTGCGGGAGGAAAGGCTGTCTGCGCCTGGCGTCTCCCCCCACACCGCTCGCTCAGCCTCCTATGATAGCTGTCAGGATGGAGAGTGAGGTAATTTATCTTTAATTATCTTTAAAGTAGAATTCCAGGCAAACTTTTTCATAACCCTTGGTATGTGGCTACCCCTGCAATGAATGGGTGAAAGCAGACCGTTACCCATATCTTTAAAATTACAATAAAAACACCTTTTAGAGATGTTTAGTAATGACAATCTACAAACACATACTTCTAGATAATTGCCAGCTTTGTATTCTTTGCAAACCTTGTTTCTCTTTTCTTCCCCAGTCTTCTGAAAGTGGCCATGTTTACTAAGGGAAGATTTATATATCCCTCTTTACTTCCTGGAGCTCTGGCACATGTGACTAGGACATGTGACCATGCACATTATCTCAGGGAAGGAAAACACCTTTCCCTGGGATCTCCTGAGATTTCAGATGAGATTTCCCAGCAATGCTCTGCTGTTGTAACCTTCCCAGGATGTTACACTTGGGGTAAAATGAAAATATGTTTGTTTAGCTAATGAATGTAAGAGGATTTCATATTAGCATGCAGAGCTGTATGCTGATGTGATTTTAAGGGAAAGGGAGTAAAGGTCTGCTTTAAGCGCTCCTATTTGTCTACGGACAAATTGTCACACATTTCTCAGAGCTGGCTAGCTGTTAGAGTGCTCCCTCCAGCCTGTCTCCTCCTCCACTGCAGCAATGGTATATCCATACACATGTCTGATGCATAGTGTCCCCTGCGTGCAAACACATGTAGCTGATGCTTAGTGTCCCCTGTGCAGAGGCACGTGTAACTGATGCATAGTGTCCTCTGCATGCATACACATGTAGCTGATGCTTAGTGTGCCCTCCATGCACACACATGTTTCTGATGCTTAGTGTTCCCTGCATGCACACACACATGTGGTTTATAGCACAGATAGAGCCTTTTGCCAACTGGTCCTGAGACTTGTTCAGTCTGATGGCCATATTTTCTTTGTATACACTCATTCACTGCCTAGTTTGTTAAACATTTGTGAAGGGTTTGTTAGGAGTATGACACAGCTCAAGTATCTGTGATACTTGGGGTTGTATATAGTGGTAAAGCCCATGTAATGAATCACTAAAGTTTCACTTAAATATTGTAAAAGTTTTATATAAACTCAATTACTAAGTGGGCTGGAGCACGATTATTCATCTCAACACCAAATTCTTTTATAGTGAAATCATTTGTGTGCTTAATAATGAATGCCAAGTTCTAAATGGCGCAGTGTCAACAGAGAATATATATATGACTTGAATATGTAAACTGATGCTGTGAAAAATAACCATGTGAGAATGCTGATAAATGAATAATAAAATAATAAAAGGAAGAATGTGCCCAGCTCCTGTGCTGGCACCATATCATTGTATATTGCACATTATAATCAATATTTACTGTGTCATTTGTTTCCTTGATATGTACTCAAAATCTTCAGAGACTTTGGATAGACCATGTACAGGGGTAGCACTAGGGGGTACTCTTGTCACCTGTCCACCATGTAAGAATGAAATAATTCTTTCTTCCGGCATCTTGAAGTAACTCTGGGTCAGATAAATCAGGACTTTGGCCCATCGATTGGTCTCAGGTACACTCCTTGTAGCTAAGCGTGCCCTACAGGCTGCGGGGGATTATACTTCAAGTGTCTACGTCAGGGGTGCCCATTAGGTAGATCGTGATCTACCAGTAGCTCTCAAAGCTGATGCTGGTAGATCACGAAGGGTGTGAATGGCGGCCCCTTTATTTTATTTTGGTATATTTATTTAGCTGTGCACACATGATTACCTATTAGCCTGAGTCTGCTGAGCCAAGCTCCCTGACACCTTTCTGGTGGATACTGGTGGTTGAAGTTATATGTATTACATAAAGAATATTAGTTTACACAGCCTGTTGCACTGCACTGTTTGCAAAATACAGCCAGGTGAGCCAGGAGAGAGAGCGGGGAGAGACAGACAGGAGAGAGAGCAAGTAGAGACAGCCAGGAAAGAGAGAGGAGAGACAACCAAGGGAGAGAGCAAGGAGAGACGGCCAGGAAAGAGAGAGGAGAGACAACCAAGGGAGAGAGCAAGGAGAGACAGCCAAGAGAGCGAAGAGAGACAGCCAGGAGAGAGAGAGCGAGAAAAGACAGCCAGAAGAGAGAGGAGCGACAGCCAGGAGGATGAGCAAGGAGAGACAGCCAGGAGAGAGAGAACAAGGAGAGACAGCCAGGAGAGAGAGAGCAAGGAGAGACAGCCAGGAGAGAGAGAGCAAGGAGAGACAGCCAGGAGAGAGAGAGCAAGGAGAGACAGCCAGGAGAGAGAGAGCGAGGGAGGTTTTTTTTCCGTTCGTAGATCTCATGTAGCTCTTCATTTGAAAAGTAGATCTTAACACAAAAAATTGTGGGCACCCCTGGTCTACGTCATCTGTGTCACAATTCAGTGGCAAAGATATAGACATTAGGTAATCCACAGCAAACACAGCTCAAAGTCCAAAACCAGCATGCACTATACCCAGACGCATCTTGGTTCCATTCTGTTTTTACGCATGTTTATGCTACGCAAATATACGGCTCCATATGCGGCTATGTGTATGGATCCATTTATTTGCATATGTTGCATATGGTACAATACGCACGTACGCGTGCGGCAGTGTGAATGAGGCCTAAAGCTGTCCATAGATCTGTAGGTTGGTTCAACACCTTCTGGAGTCTTTGTCTATCTTCAGATTTGGTCATCCATAGTGATGGTCCAGTCTAGCACGTGTGCTTTGTCCATGTGGTAGGTATGTCATTAGAGGGCTATTGGAAATTACTGGAGAGCCGTACACATTCAGAGTTTTCAGATGATTACATTATTATTACTATTATTATTTAGGATTTAGTGCCAACAGTTTGTGCAGAACTTTACGTCTTCTGAAATGTCTGAATATTGTCTACACAGATGGCTATCAAGCGGGAAAGTCCGCGGCACTATTGACCATACTTTTTTTTGGCAGAGAAAGTCTGAAACAAGTGTGTTTGCTGATGCAGGGCGGCCTTTAAAGACTGATCCATTTACTATAGCTTAGGACTTGGCTGACGTTGTTGGCTATCAGACATCTACTTATTTAATCTCGGCCTTAGTACAGTTTGAACTCCGCAATGTGACGTACAAAACACCTTCAAGTGATTTGTCTGATCCTTTTCTTCCATACAATGCAATTGTTCACACTCTGTTAAGTGGATCTTGTGGTTGTAGGTTGTTTTCTTCTATTTATTAGCAACAATGGAATCAAAATCTCTATGTGGGTCGGATATAAATATTTACTAGGGTTGCTAGCCTTACTAAAAGATAAATAAGGAAGGTCAGCTTTAATAAAGCAAGGCTGTGCACCAGAACACATTGGTGGTTTCTCTTCAGGTGCCATTTCAATGCATCAATGCAGAAAGAATGGCAGCATGCTTTGGTCATTTCTTTTTTATTTTTGGGTGCTGATATGTTGTATGTATGTCCTTAGTCATAGTTCCCTTATCAAGACAGATCTGTATTAGTCCTAGATGACAGTTTTAGGTTGGTACTAGTGTCTGGTTGGTACTGTTGGGCTTGACACCTAGGATGTCCATTGATTGGAAAATCTCACACTAAGAATTACAGGTGAAGAGACATCTGTCCTTTCTTGAGCTTGCTGGGGTCTTCTGCACTGCAGCTTCCAATATGACCAGCAAAAAAGAGGCAGGCAGGCAGGCATTAAGAAGTTGTTCTGTTTCTTGCATGAAAAGGGCAAAAATTGGCTCCTTCACACTGAGATTTTACAACTCCGAAGAACCCAATATTGCAAACAGAAATGTTTGCAACTCTTAGATTGTTTAAAAAACCTGTAGATCGCCTCCACCTAGGCCTCTTGCATTCACCTCTCACCCTAATGTGTAATGCACGATACAAATTAGAAAATAAAGGGTTTTGAAGAGAGGTATCAAACCATGCATAAGTAAAATATATCAAAATGTATTATTCATAGAAATAAATACAATAAATCTGGTTCTTTTTTTTTTGGATTGGACAACATTAACCATATTGAACATTAGCCATGATTACATACATTTCATGGATACATTGTCCAAAAACTAAAACTAACATGATTAGTCCCTACTCTCTAGACAGCCCAAAGTACAAACAGTTGCTAGGTACCATAACCTGATACCATCTACCATGATTCGTTCCATAGATACATCAATTCATTGGTGGAAGATCCAGATAGATATCTGATACGATTCGTCCCATCGCATCGTCCCACGAATCGTATCAGATATCTATCTGGATCTTCCACCAATGAATTGTTCCAACTCTTTCAATATGGTTAATGTTGTCCAATCCAACAAATAGAAACAATTTGATTGTATTTATTTCTATGAATGAATAATACATTTTGATATATTTTACTTATGCATGGTTTGATACCTCTCTTCAAAACCCTTTATTTTCTAATTTTTATCGAACTCTTGGATTGTTATCAACTCCAAGGGAGCCCTTATATATAGACTAGTGGTTACCCCATCATTCCATTGGGGCATTAAATATGACACAGGATTGGGATGTGTTTGGCCACCCTTTGCCTTGTGTAGCATTTTGTTTATACTTTGCTTTGTTTGTCCTTTTTTTAGGAAATCATCACATTAGCATTCCAGTAAGATGAAAAAGATGCCTCTGTTCAGTAAATCACACAAGAATCCTGCAGAGATTGTGAAAACCCTGAAGGATAATATGGCCTTGTTAGAGAAGCAGGATAAGAAGACCGAAAAGGTAAAGTATATATATTTTCTTTTTTACTTACTTGACAAACACTATTGTTTAAAACAACACGGATCACCTAAATATTTCACACCATATAGGTTTCCACTGTCCTAATGTACAGATTGCACATCATGTTTGTAGCAACCAATTTTAGTAATATTAAAGTCAAAAGGTTTTTGAGCTAATCAGCTGGTCCCCTGAGCACTGACCATAATCTCCTGTTTTAGGGTTGCTCTTCCTTTGCAGGGTCTTATGGAGCCACCCTTGTGTGTGCTACTAAGCTGTGTGTGTCTGCCCAAACACACAGCTACATCAGGTCAAAACAAGCCATTCCCCTGCTCCCCGTCCCTACCTCCTCCTCCCTTCTCCAAGCTAGTAGATGAAGCTTGTCTTGTACTGGACAGGAAGTTCAGGGAACCTGAGCTGAAAGAGTTGGAAATGTTTGGAAACATGATGACTGTAAGTGCATGGGATAAACTATAAAGAGATGATTTGCTGGGCAATGTATATTTGTATGATCTGGGTTTATTGTTGAAAACAATTATGAGAGTTTAATATAACTCTAAATCTTCCTTTTTAAAGTATATTACTTCCAAATGTATATTTGATATTTGATAGTAGGGAATAATTAGAACCCCTCTTATTTATTTTTAGTTGTCTGTTAGGCAAATTCACCCTCTATGTTTGTCCTGGTACCCATTGTCACCAGGGCGGAAAATGTGGGAATTACAGATTTAAGGTTGTCACCTGAATAGGAGACTAGGGAAAATTTTCCAAAGGAGACACCTGTTCTAGTGACAACTGGGGTTGAAAATGCTTCTTACCTAGCTGTCAAGCTTTTTTAAAGTGGACCTTTAACTCATTTGAGTCAATATCACATCAGCATACAGCTCTGCATGCTGATACAAAATCATCTTACATTCATTAGCTAAACAAACATATTGTTTTATTTTACTTACAATTTCTTTTTTTCTTCTTCCTGGTCCACTTTGGCACAAATGATGTAATTTTGCCCAAGTGTTGCATCCTGTGAAGGTTACATCAGCAGAGCATTGCTGGGAAATCTCATCTGTAATCTCATGAGAGCTCAGGGAAAGGCATTTTCCTCCCCTGAGATGATGGACATGTCCTAGTCACAGGAAGTAAAGGGAAATCTAGTAACCTGCCCTTAGTTAACATGGCCACTGTCAGAAGAATTGGGAGGAAAACAAAAACGAGGTCTGCAAAAAATAAAAAGCCGGCAATTATCTAGAAGTGTGTGTTTGTAGATTGTCATTACTAAACATTTCTTAAGGTGTATTTGTTGTTATTTTGAAGATATGGGTAAAGTTCCTCTTTAATGGCTTCAGTACTACCTATATCCCTAGCCTCAGAACAAACGTGCAGATGAGTTCTAACTTCAGTGGCTGCATTCGTGTTCTTTGTTGGTGATTCAGAGAGCAGTGAAGTCATAGGATCAGCATCAGTGTCAGACAACTGGCATTTTTAGAAGATCAGAAATGGTAGCACCCATATTTTTTGTAGTACATGTTTCCTTCATGGTAACGCAGGCTGCTAGAAGTATCAGTATGTATGGCCAACGGCCCTCTTTTGTCTGTTATGGTGGCCATACACTTTTACTGATAGCCGCATATCCTGTGAGATCTGCCCATACACTTCTGATTGCCACACGAGTGCTAATAATTGGCAAACTTTAAACTGGTGCCCTGTAGAAATGTCACTTTACGTCAAGAGGCCTGGCATGAAAAGCCATGGCAGGCTTTGATTGATATTATGATAGAGTTATGAGGATACATGAATGGAGTATTATAGTTCTGAAAAAATAATATTCCGTTATGATCCAGCCAGTCTAAAAGATTACAACTGATTTCTACCTTTTATGAGCCATGCTTGTGTGTTCTAATATAAATACATCTTCTTTGGTTCAAGATATTGCTTACTGCTACATTGGTTTGCTGACTCCTTACCGTTCTATTGGCTTGTCAATGATTGCTTTTATTGATAAGTCATTAATAAGACATGTATGTTGTTTGTGCTGAACAGTCTTTAAATTGTTAATGCATAGAAGATTTTATTTTCTGTATGTTTTAGGCCTCTGAAGAGGTGTCCAAATCCCTCCAAGCCACAAAGGAAATTTTGTGCGGTACAGGAGACAAGGAGCCTCAGACTGAGACTGTGGCTCAGCTAGCACAGGAGCTCTACAACAGTGGCTTGTTAGTGACATTAATAGCCAGCCTGCACCTCATAGACTTTGAGGTATGTATATATTCACTTGGCCACACAGTACGCCTTATTTATTAGTGGCTTGCACAATGATATATCCAGTTACTGTGATGAAACACCACATGGGCTCAGTTACTGTGATGAAACACCGCATGGGCTCCGAACTTGTGATTCTAACCTCAGAATGCTAAAAGCAGGCTCTTTCGTCTGAGGAGTGGCTACATAAAGGCCCTTTTTTTTCTCTTCACATGTCCATGACTCCTTACAAAATGTTGATAACATTGTATTGGAAGGTCAGTTTGAATGCAGATAGTGTTTAGTGGAGTTCTTAATCATGATTAAAGCTAAACTCCAGGCAAACATATAAATACACAAATAAAGTACACTACATATACACTACAAATAAAGTACACTATTTTTTGCGATCGCACTGGATCTGAACAAGGGCATTGCTGTGCCACGCGCTGCAGGCCAGGAAGCAAGGCTGCGGTGCCATTGACTTGAATGCACCACCATGCCCCCTCCTGCCTTTGAATGCAGGGAGGCTTACACTATGCGATCCAGTGCGTTCCAGCAGCTAACCGTGCTGGAGCGCATTGAAATTGGTGTAAACGAGCCCTTAAGGTAGGCCATATTAAACCCAGAAAACCTGTCAAATAAACTTTGTAAAATGTACTGCTAATCTAAGCAATAAAAAGAAAATGATTTGGTGCTTTACTGCACCGTTATTTTTATTCTTGTTGACAGTCTATGTCAGGGTGATGTAATAGTTCCACACTGCTCTGTATCTATTGCCGAAATTAAAATGAACAGCTGTCATAGTCCTACCCATCTGCTCTTTCCATTCCTTTAAACAGAACATCCAGGTAGGTGTTATTGTCACGGTCTCTCTTTCTTATGTTTAATTTTCAACCAGTGCATGATTCTAATGGTAGCATTCCACCCAGCACAAGATTTGTAGATCTCTGAAATGGAACGCCTTTTATACATCTTCTATTGTTAGTCGTGTAAATAGTGATTTTCTTTTGGTGTGTTTATGAAGCACAGGCAGGGCTTTTCTTTCGGTATTCCGTCACCATTACTATTTAAAACAAAGACAAAACAAAGACTTTCTTCTGTCTACCTTTTTTAATCGAACTTAATAATCGGCTAACTAATCGATTTTGAAAATAATCGTTAGCTGCAGCTCTACTTTTTTGTATCACTGGAGGATCACACTGCAGAAACTTATGTTAAACAAATATGGGTCCATCTGTGTGTGTCATGTGCCTCTGGATCTTAACAGGACCAGGATCCACCACATTGAGATACCTTCATTTTTATCTGTCATTAGCTCAACCGCCCAGCTTTCCAAATGAGTTAGAACTACAAGTCCCAGTATGTCCCTCTTGGTACATCCCTGTCTCTTACAGTTATGGTGCCAGCATGTGCAACTGAGTTATGTCCCATTTTTTGTTTTAATTACATGTCTCAGCAAGTCCCACTAGTGTCTTTACTGCTAAACTACAAGTCCTAGAAAGTTGTATTGACATTTCCTATTTGAATCACAAATCTCAGCAACTCTCATCGGTGTCTTTACTCTGTCTTTATTATTACACATGCCAGCATGTCTCATTGATGTCTTCCCCTCTTTTTATTATTAGAAATCCTGGCATGCTCCACTGACCTATCTCCTGTGTTTTTAGAATTATGAGTTCTAGCAAGTCCCACTGATGTGTCTCCTCTCTCTATTATTGCAAACTCCTGTATGTTCCAGTGACATACGGTATATCTAGTGACGTTAGAACTGCAATTGACACAACATGTCCCATTGGTGTATGTCTTGTTGAACTACAAGTTCCAGTTTGCCTTGCTGCCAGATGTCTTTTATTTGTAGGATGTTGACCCCCTTCAAACCTCTCCAGTGTGTTTTGGTGAGATTCTGTATGTCCCCTCTCTTGTGGTTTCTTACATACAGTATCAACATACATTGCATTAAGCCAGCCCTTTTATTTTGCATGGGCTGCCAAAGTACTACAATGCACAAACAAACCCTGGACATTACTTTTTTTAAATGTTATATAATGACCCACATGGCTCCTATCTGTGTGCTCTTCAATGCACATGCGTTGGGGAGTGTGTGTTCCAAATTAATAGCGCCACAGAAAACCACACTGCCAAATGTGCACGGATAATTCAAAACATGCATTTTACAGTGCACTACTGCAATGCACATATGTGAAGCTAGACACCAAGTCTTTAGCATATCCTACTGAGTCTGTAGATGGGTCTTTGTTTTTTAAAAGACTTCCAGTGAACCATGTGAGTTCCTAACCTACAACAGATAATCCATCCGGACCAAGTAGGCTTTATGTCTTGCAGGAAAGCGTGGTGTAATACTTGCAGAGTACTAAACTTCATCCATCAGGCAGTGTCGTTGGATATGTTACTAATGTCTGCATACACAGAAGAAACTTTTGATTGCCTGTACTGGCAATTCCTTACTCTAACCCTTCAACATATAGGGTTGTATTTAAAGTCAATTTGCAGAGCAAAAATTAAACTTATAAGCATATTTTCCTTTCTGGTTGAATGTAATATTAGGTAAATACAACATTATGACCATTAGATGGAGCTGAGAAGCCCAGGAGATAAGTATAAGGAAATAACCCATTGTGGCCACTAAATGGAGCTGAGGGTCATATGAAATAAGTATTCTTCATCTACTGGCTATATTGCCGTATTTTCCTGATATTACATTTGACCTGGAAAGAGAATATACTAATACCATACATTTTTCCCTCCATTTGTACAGGGCAAATTTATATGCAATCTTACAGGGTGCATGGCTATGCAAATTGTTAATAAATACACCCTATAGGGTTGGGAAAGCATATACTCAAATAGATAACACAATCTACTCTACCACAACAGCGGCAGTTTGCGTGAATTAAGCCTTCTGTACATTCTTCCCATTAACAATTAGTGCACAAAAGGGACGTTTTCTCTCTCCCCTGAAATTCATTTTGACACTAGATCCTCTACTAAGACATATTCGGGCCAATAAAGACGTATGTAAAGGGTAGACAAGATCATCATAAGATACCTGCATACACAAAATGAATATTGTGACCCATCTACTGTAGCTACTGCAAACTCGTCCTGTAGCATTTCAGCCAGCCTTTCTCCATTCTACAAGGAGTGGATTCCTAAAATTTGTTTATGGCTGCCAACCCTCACAAATCTCTAGTTCCATACTGTGGTTACCCAAAATGAGAGGGGGACTTGGATTTTCTGACCTTGCCAGTTACCATCAGGCAGTACATCTGACTAGACTGCTCATTTGGTGCAAGCATGCACCCTTTAAAAACTGGGTTGATGTTGAACAAGAAGCAGTACCTCTCCCCCTACAGAGCTCACCATGGATTTCCTACCCAGAATAAAACAACACCTTCTAAAGATATTACAAACAACCCCATGCATAAAACGTTCAGTGAACCATGTAAGCAACTCTGCTCACCACATTCGAACATCTCTGTCTCAATACACAGCTTCACTGACATGCAATATTGGTCTCATATCATCGCTTTACAACCCCTTCAGATGACGATTTTCCACTTAAATGGGAGGAAAAGTCAAATTTAAGTCTTAAGCAGGAACAGAGAGAGTACATGCTATACTTTGCACAACAATCCTTTATCTCCAACAGACTCCAGGAGTCAGGGTCCAAGGACTGACAAGGTGGTACACAAGACCTAAGGTACCATATTGAATGAAGAGTCTCACTAAAAAATATATATTTGACAAGGTCAAGAGGTTCCAGGACTGCAGTGGAGCTCCATACCATGCAGTGTGTTACATAAGGCACTTTGGTTAAAATAAATGTTTTATGGTGGCATTTTTAAATAGAACCTGGGCACCTAGTGGTTAATAGACTGGATTCTGAACACTGAAGGTTCCTTGCTGGTTGAAAGTACACTTTATCTGCACAGGATTGTTGCTTAGATTCTGGGTGCTTGGTCCAGGTACAGTATTGCATTTAATACAAGGCACTTCACAATCTGATTGTACAATCTTCTTTATATACAAAAATAGCAGGATATATTTGAATGAATATAGATAGAAAAAATAAATTTCATGTTAAATCTTAATGAAACTGTAATTAGATTGTTTAATAAGATTGTATAGTGTGGCCATCCTTAGATCATATCTGTAATCTGAAAATATGTCTTTCAGGGTAAAAAGGACGTTTCCCAGATATTCAACAACATCTTAAGAAGACAGATTGGCACTCGAAGCCCAACTGTGGAATATATCAGTTCCCACCAACATATACTCTTTATACTACTTAAAGGGTAAGTGTGAGAAAAAAAAGGTGATACTGATGAGTGTGTGCGCGTGTGTGTGCCTCTATATACTTGTCTTATTACAGTGCATCTGACTTTACAGCCAGTTGTCATCCAGTACATTTGCCAGGAATCTAAAGAACTGCCTGGCAGTTTATGCACATTTGTGAAGCTCTTCCTATTGAACAGCAGTGCAATAATGTGAGTTTGCTGAAGAGCTATGAGAAGTAGAAGTACAATGAAGTATATGGTGTTCATAACTGAGCAAGCTTTACAGAAGGCAGGAACTAATTCACAGATAGGTTCACTTAAGACAGGAGTTAAAGCTCAACCCCAGAAAAAAGTTTCAAGCTGATATTGCTGGCTGTGTCAGTCAGGATAGAAAGTAATGAAAAATCTCCCACAGGGAAACCAACATAACCAAAAACACATTTTTAGTATATTGAGGAAGGGTTCGAAGTACCAACAATGTTATACACTTTTTAAATTTGAGTTATATTGCACTATTACTCCTGTGGACTGGGGGGGAGGACACTATATTTTCACAGACATTATTTTATTTTATTTTTGTTGTATTGTGAGGGCAGCTCTACAAATATGTCATTTTTAATCTGTAGCTATCAGGAAGCAGTGGGTGGATTTATGGAGCCAATAAACCAGACCTTGGTGAAAGAAGCTAAAACGTTAGGTGCCAACTGTACTTCTTCTTTTTTTTTAAATTAACTTTCACTTACTTTTTTATTAAATTATCAATAATAGTAATAACACAGACACAAAAAGAAAAAGCTGACAAAATAATAAAATATCATATAAAATAAGATGTTAGGAGGGAAGTAAACGATAACATTTCTTCAGAGGATAAACACAAAAGGTAGAGATAGAAGAGCGTGGGTAAGTGGGAAGGGATCGAGGGCTCTCACCTCTAAAAGCAGTTAGGAACAGGTACATTATCCAGTACGAAGATTTAGGGGTCCCAGAAAGATGTATGCGACTGCCACATATGTTGAAGGATTGGGTCAAGTACCATGCAAGGTGAGGGGGAATGAAGAAAGAATTTGGATGAATTCAAGTTGAGGACATCAACAATGGATAATTATTTATTTGAAATGTAACCAAAAGGCCCGTATTCCATAAGATGTATAACACGTGTCTTTATAGCTATGTGTTAATTCTACTGTTAATCGTATTTGGTCTAATTTTTTCAAACAATTCCTCTATGGTAAGTAAGGTTGATGGCCTCCAGTGGTGTGAGATGATACTTTGATACCATTCTTGTTGAATGCTGCAAAAAGAGTTTTTATACTTCTTATGTAAGTGTAAGATGAGAGGTATGTCCATGTATATATCCTCCATCCAGCATATAGCTGTCATTTGTGGCCCCTTGCCTGTATGTTTTGTCCAGCAACATTGTAAGAACTAATGCTTTGTACTTTTAGTACTATGCTGGTGACTTGCACAAAACTGAGTTTATATACATTTTTAGACAATGTAGCTGTAACATATTTTGGGAACAAAACACACATTCAGTTCTTATTAAAAAAAAAAAGATTTTGTTTTATGAGTGAGAGGCAGAAGATTGTTGGGTTCACAAAATGTTTCCCAGAGCAATTGATCAGAAGTTTGCTTTCAGTTGTTAGCTGGAATAGAAAAATACAACTGTAACTGTATTGTTTGCCGTCGTCAACAGCTTTTAATCCCATGAGCAGGGATTTCAAAAACAAAGAACGGTTGTAGATTAGCTATTCCTCATGTCTGGGCTGAATGATGCTCACCGCTGAGTGTTTCAGCCTAATTTACAGCAGTTTGTAGATGGGGTGAGTAAGGTGTTCACTGATGTGTCAGACTTCATTGGGTGTAATAGGTAGATGGGGACATGACAAGACAGGAAGGACTTCCTGTTGCACACAGGTTTAAAAGATAGGTGCAGTTTCTGTAACAAAAATAATGTATTTTACTTCTGGCTCTCACTGGCCATTCTTATAACATTATTGTAAATAAAAAGCAGACCTTAGCTGTAGATACCATACTCCACTGCATTGCCTGGCCAGGCACCGCCTGGGTGAATCTTATTCTCTGTCATGCATGGACTTGCAGCCTCAATATAAAATAATCTTCCCATAGAATTATATCTTCATTTAACATACACTTCCTGGCCAAAGAAAGTCACCGCCAGGATTTAGCGAAGCAAATAGGTCAGAGCCTTCCATTGGATTATATGTCTAGGTTCAGCCAAGTTATCTCCTCAAAAAATGAGGTCAGCTATCTACCGGAATATACTGAATGGCCAGGTTTTTCCATCAATGGATTTTTTCTTCCCTGATGGCACATTGGGCATATTGCAGGATGACAATGCCGGGATTCATCGGGCTCAAATTGTGAAAGAGTGGTTCAGGGAGCATGAGACATCATTTTGACACATGGATTTGCCACCACAGAGTCCAGACCTTAACCCCATTGAGAATCTTTGGGATGTGCTGGAGAAGACTTTACACAGAGGTCTGACTCTCCCATCATCACTACAAGATCTTGGTGAAAAATCAATGCAGCTCTGGATGGAAATAAATGTTGTGACATTGCATAAGATTATCAAAATGATGTCACTGTGAATGTGTGCCGTAATCAAAGCTAAAGGCAATCCAGCAAAATAATAGAATGTGTGACTTTTTTTCTGCCCAAGCAGTGTTTTATAGGCATGTTATTTACCTGTAAAAACCACACTTGTGTAGACATCCAAAGGCCCTGAGACTGCTGCTGGGTGCAGCCATCGTGGATGTGATACCAGCAGCCCCAGCAGACTCAGAGCTGGCACTCAAGTGACACTCTATAGTATATCCCAGAGAACAATTAGACACTCCAGAAGAGGAGAGAGCTATGAGGTTCAAGGAGGGAGTGGACGAGCTTGAATTGACTATTGAAATTTGCTAGCAAGTTCAGCAACACATTGCAAGTTAACAATAAATAATTTAACGCATTTTTCTGTGTTGTTACCTGCAATTTTCTAAGCTGGTGACAGGGTCTCTTTAATAGGCTTGAAATAAAACCAATGTCCATCAATCTCAGCCTTTCTCAACCACTGCAGCTTTGAGGAAGAAAAAAAAAAACCTCCTGTGCAAATGTTGACATTTTTGCCATACCAAAAGAAAAAAATTCCTCCCTGGTCCCCATATTCCTCCCACTCCCTGAAAAGTAGGATTTCGGTATCAAAATATTGCTCGGATCCTTTTCTACATATTACACTGAATTATTTTAGTTGCAAGAAAATCATCCAGTCCTTTTTTAAAGTCCGTTATTGTCTTTTCCGATACTGCCTTATGCAGTAAAACATTCCACAAGTTAAACAGCCCTTTCCTAAACTGATAAAAACATTTTCTTCCTTACATATATATACATATATAACTGATGTCTCTATATCCTCTATGTGCTAATACTCGCCTTGAATATATTTGGCCATGTTAATGTAGAACTAAAGCCAAAAACTTATTTTTTTTAGTTTTGCATAGAGTAGAGAGGGATTAGAATACCTGCCAGTTTTTTTTTGCCGTCTGTGTCCCCACTAGGGATATTCACACTCTCTGTCGTGGTGACCGTTATCACTGAAAGTGAAAGAAAATCCCAAATTTGTCAGTTATCACCAGAGCAGGAATAGCAGGGAAATCTTCCAATGGGCACACTAGTTCTGGTCACCCTGCTGACAGCCAGGCATTTCCTTCACTTTGAAGGACTTTCCTTTAACTTCCTGTTGTGGCTATGGAATAGAAAGTAAGGGGAAGTCCCCCCAGTGGGGCACAGATGGCAAACAAAACTGACAGGGGTTCTTCTTACCTTCACTTACTCTTTCCAAAAATGAAAAAAAAAAAACATTTTAGCTTTGGTTCTACTGTACATTAAGACATCTTTTTATCAGACTGAACATACCCAATATTTGTAGCCCTTTTATTTATTATTTATTTATTATGTTGCACACCCATCCAAAACTCCTATGTCTTTTTATGCCGTGGTGCGCAAATTCTAGATGTGGTCCTGGAAGTGATTTCTACAGAGACTGTACTATAGTAGCATCATAATGGTATGCCCTTCTTTGTGTTGATGAGCAAAATGTCCTTTAGTAGGTTTTGGAGCTTGCGGATTGTTATAAGGAGGTCCGCGGTGGTGGTGGCTCAGGGGGGTTGATGTCAGCGTATTCTTTTCTACACTTATCCTTTCATCTTTTGCTGCAGCCCTGAACATTTACAGGACATAATATTTCTTCACAAAGGTGTACTGTTCTTCAAAAAATGTACTTTTGACTCTCTTTGGTTGAATTTTGTATCTTGCCTATAGTTCTCTGAACTCCTTTACAATATCTGTCTCAGACTCTGTTCCACCCCTCTGTTTGCTATTTTTGGTACGACCAGCTCTGGGGAAAATGTCAATATGTTCTCATATCACATTTGTTAGAAAGATCAATGATCTCTCTGATTAGAACCGTCCATGTAACAAACACTGCCAGAGGACAAGTACATTGATGAAAGGTCTACCGTAGGTCACAGGACGCTGGCTTCTGGATCAGTTTCAGTTTGAATCGTATCTCTGTCTGTTGGAGCTGCTGCACAAAATGTAAAAGCAACTGTTTTCTAGGTACCTTGTTTAAATGATCCATTGAATATATCTTTGCCAGACACCCAGCTTGCTGTGTTTTCAGGGCCTATGAGGACTAAAACCGGCCCATGGAGAACAGTTCTTGTATAAACTCATTTTAAAAGGATATCTCTACCATTTCTAGTTCTGTTGTTATTTTCCACTCATTAATAACCCCCTCAGATAATTTGCAGCCCTTACAGATTTCTTCTTTTAACCTCTTGCCGTCCGCCCTGACATGTTTAGTGTCTTTTTACCCGACGTGACCCCATCTTTTATATTTTACCAAAAAATTGGGTAATAATAAATGTTTTATCATTTAATATAGGGGAAACTGTTTTTTTTTTTAAATTTCGGTAATTTTTCCTTAATATAGTAAAAAAATAAAACCC